TTTTTTTGTGCTAGATTTGTTGTTTTTTTTAAGTTCTTGTCCTCGTTTTTAGCTGTGTTTGAAAGGAGAATGTGTTTGAGAAGTTGTTTCTATCTCAATTGTGTGGGTTTTCGTTTTTGATATTGTTATTTCTTTGAGAGGAAGGACCTGTCTAGTCTGGCATTCTGGTGAACAGAGCTGAAAGTGGCTTTTGGAACACCGCTTTCCTGCTAGAACCATATGACCTTTTAAATAGAAAATAACTGAGGTAGAAACTCCATTTCTAGAAACATGAGTCTCTCAGAAGCACGTAGATGTTTGAATCAATCTTCACCCTTCTATTGTGACACAGCTACCCTAGCCAGTTCTGATTTGTCTGTTGTATTTACACAGTGAGACTCCTGCCCGTACTTGTGGGATTACCTATCTCAGCTGCCCAGCCTGCCACTTCCACTGTTCTACAGGAGCTGACAGTGTGCCCAGGTGGCCAAAAAGGCCGATGACATCCTGGCCTGCATCAGAACTAGTGGGGCCAGCAAGCCTAGGGAAGTGATTGTCCCCTTGTGTGTGGCACAGGTGAGGACTGCACCTTGAATGTGATGTTCATGTTTGGGTCCCTCACTACAAGAAGGATATTGAGATGCTAAAATATAGGCTAATTAAGATTGGAAAAGACCACTGAGATCATGTAATTAAACCATCAGCCTATCACCACCATGCCCACTAAATCATATTACTCAGTGCCTCGGAGTGCTAGTGCACAAATGTGTCCAGAAACTGGCAAAGGGACTAGAAAACAAAGATTAGGAGCTGCTGAGAGAACTGGGGCTAGGGGAGGCCTAATCATTGCCTACAGCTACGTGGCAGCAGGTTGCAGCAAGAAGAGTGTTAGTCCCTTTTCTCAAATGACAAATGACAGGGTACGAGAAAATAGTCGCAAGTTGCAACAGGGGAGGCTTCGATTGGGTGTGAGAAAGAAATTCTTCATGGAGAGGATGTTCAAGCGTTAGCACCAATAAAGCAGTGGAGTTGCCGTTCCTGGAGGTATTTAAGAGATCTGTCGATGTGACACTAAAGCACATGGTTTAGTGATGGCACTTGTGGAGTCAGGTTGGTGGCTGGATGTGATGATCTTGAAGGTCTTTTCCAACCTAGATGATTCTGCACTTTAAGAGAATCTTGAGGAATCGCGAGCAGAAGTTGCCTAGAGCATGCCCAGCAGAAGAGCAGTGAATGGTCTTGGAGACTAGTTTCACATAATTTAGGGGCAGAACACTTTTTAACATTGACTTGACGAAAACTGTTCACACGATCAGTTTATTGTCTTTTTACAAGACATGTTCACAAGCCTCTTGCTTTCTAATTCAGTCTAATTGGGTTCTTAAACCCTCCTGTTTAGTGAGGTCTGAAGCAACCTAAATCGCGCCTTTAAAATTCTTTGACACACTAACATCAGAACTGAATACTTCTTCTGAAGTATGGCTACTGATATCGAAGCATACCTGAAATCTGCACTTATGTTGAAGTCATCTGTTCTCACTTGTCTTTGTTCATCTGCAGGAAATTCTTAATTTTCTTACAAAAACGAAGCGCAGTTGAGCACACTTTCGTAAGTGTTTATTCTCTGAACTGCTCTCACTGAGCCTAGATAAGACCGTTTGCTAGTTGCTGTTACTTTAGCTTTTGGAATATGACCTTTATAGGATCGTCTTTAGAAACTCAGTATAATATACTTCCATGCTTTTGTACTGACTCTAAACTTTTATTCCCCTTCTATGCTTTGCTTGATTTTTTTCTTTGTCTCCAAGAAACTGAATGGCATATGCTGTTTATGTGCAAGGTAGCTATATTTAGCTGGAAACATTTGGGAGTATTCCTTTTTTTGCTTTTAGCAGTTTGTTAGGGAAAACCTAGAGAGTTCCATTTTTCCCATGATGAAACTGCTCAGTAAGACTTTTTTTTTTTTTTTTTTTTTTTTAAATAAAGAAATAAAAAAGGGAGAAAGTGGGGTGGAGTGGCATGGGAATGTGACTGAAGAATCTCCAGATGTAAATGCCTACGTTAAAGCTCTTTTAAGGTATTTGAGTAATAAATCTATGACCAGAAAAAAATAATCCTGTTTTATGAAATGACTGAATTGTGGGTTTATCTCTACAAACGTTCTGAGAAACCTTGTAAGTAGTTCCGTGTGATTCTGTTCTCAAATGTATAGATGTGGGCTATAGCTTTTGAGATGAGAAATTCTTACTGGGGGGGCAGTCTGCTGCCTGAGTGTGCCTTTGCTCTCTATTGACCAGGTAAAACAGATGCTTGCAGCAGAGCCCAGGGTTTTGGTGCACGTGCACCAGTGGTTCTCTTTTTTGCTGTCTCTGCTATATTGAGAAAGTTCTTTCACCTCAAAGGTTTTAGGTTGTGTTTTTTTACTTAATTTGTGCTACACCCTGTAAGGTGTGGTTGGAGAGGCAGCAGGGCTGCCCTCTGAACCTTAGGTACAACACAGAACAGCCTGTAGACTGTTGCTGGTAAGAGCGCTTCTTGAAGGCTTTGTGTCAGGCAGGGTGTTTTCTACTGAGGTGAAATTTGGGCGGGTAACAGCAGTGTGTGTGCTGAGAAGGGAAAAGTTGAGGCTTATTTGCATATTTGGACCTTAGACTTAGGAAATGACAGCACTGGGCAGTAAGCTAGTTTCAATAGTAAACTGCCTGTGGTGCTGCTGTGCTCAGCTGCAGTGAAGGATGTTGATCTTTTGCTGATGTGTCTTCTGTATTTTTGACTTCCCTATACAGAATGGCCGAGCACAGAACTGTTAGAACTGTTTATCATTTCATACTGTTTACTAAATAAAGGAGAGCAAAGGATCTTACTTAGATTACAGATAGCACACGCAATAAATTTCATTATGCTGTTTGGTGTAAATACATTTAAATTTGACCACATATTTCATTGATTTATGTTCCTTGTTAGAAGGTGAACTTCCAAGCAACAGTGAGATCCTTTTTCCCAGCTCTGTTTCCTGGAGCTATACAATGTGTTTCAGTTGCTAGTTTTGTAAAATGTATGTTCTTCGTAGTGGAGTCTTTTCACCAGTGTTCAGTCAGCTTATCTTAAAGGCACGATTTTATTTTTCAATATATGCAAGTGAAAATGCCTTTTTCTTCTTGTTCAACAGTGCTGGTATCTTATATCGGTAAAGACTCAATCTACAGGGCTAACAAATTATTATTGGTGCTTTCAGAAAGAGAAGATATTACAATTGTACAGGATTTTAAGCTCTTTTGTAGGATGAGACTGCATCTTAACAACTTACTGCACATCAGCACTGTGGGAATGGAAGCAGGTGATTTGGTGTACAGTCAGCTACAGCATTACAGTTGGTGGCTGAGTACAGCTGCTTGTCCTGAAAGCCATCAGTGTATTTCTTTTTCTTTTTTTTTAAGTACATAGATAGAGAAATCCATAATGGAAGATCTTTTTGTTTCAGTCATGTTGTGAGTGGTGTTTCATCACTGCTTTTACTTAGGTTTCAGTTAAAATAAATAAATAAAATGGGAATGTTAAAATGAAATAACTAGTTATAATAATTATGGTAATTTCAGAATGCATTTTAAATCAAGGAACTTTGCTTTCATGTGCATACACTTACATGTATTGTGTACGTGTTTGTAAATGAAAAGAAACCTGGTCTCCATCTTCCTGTTGACATCAAACAATCTTCTGATATGCAAATCCTGCAATGGGGAGAACAGATACACAGGGTTTGTTTGGATTCAGTCCAAGACTGAGAAAATTATATTTAAACAAGTGATTTATATTCTTTGCCTCATTTAAATGAAAATGCATTTTGAAATAATCCCTGTAACTAGCACCACTTTGGTGAAATGTTGTGATCCTTTGTACGACTGATGCATTTTACAACAGCTACTTTAGAAACGCTTTTCTTGTACTCGTGCCCGTCTCCGTAATGTGCAGATGCGGCTGTCAACTTCTCAGTGGCACACTTTAACATTGTATATGAAAATATTTTTATTTTCCCAGGGTAATAAATGTTTGTCGTATCAACTTAGGGTGTGTGTGATTGTGACATGTGTGTATACAAGCTATTAAAGTACATGTGAGTGTTTTTATTTCCGTGTAAGTTAACTAATGCTGTTTGTATATTTTCTTTGTCTGCATACAATCTGTTAGAATAAGGATTCTGTTGAAAAAATGACAAAGCGAGCAACAGTTTACCAATCTTCTCACCTTTAGCTGCAGAAATTACAATGACCAAACTTACATGAGGTAGTGCTGTCTGAATTGCAGGTTTTCAGTAGGCGTTTTTGGAGGTCTGTATTACTTCAGTTGCTGAGCATTATATCTGAAGATGTGTGTGGCAGAGCATAATTGCACTTCCTGTAAGTTCTAGTGGGCTGTTGAACTGTTACCAATTACTGGCGATGGTGGCCCATAAGGGATGGGAAATATTTGAACAAGAGTTGGATTGCAGTGGAATTTTCAGAAATGATTGGTACTCCTTTCTATTTCGGCACTAGATAACCTCATTTGCTCTAATGTGATCTTTCTGTGATTGTGTGCCACCGTTATTTTTCTGCCGTTTGGAAGACAGAGACATGGAAGTTGGTGTGAGGAAGTATTTCATTCAGGAGGTTCTGTGCACCTCCCTTTATATCAGACCTTTGTTCTGTGGTCACTTACTCAGTGCTGGGCTGTTCTGGTCGCATTTCATTCTGCGTTGAGAATTGTTGCATGCCACACAAATCCTGTTATTAACTGGTCCTTAATGTGGAGGGCTGGGGGAGCAGCAGTTCCATTCTGCTGATGGCAGTTATGGTTATATGTGTTTACTGATTCTAAATGTGTAGACCGATGAAAGATGCTTTAATACTGAGGGAAAAATCTTTCAGTAAACCTTTTAAATTGCTTTTGTACTTGATTTTTAGATAAAGGATTTTATACTTTTGTTTGTTCAGCTGCTTTATGCAATCTGAAATTCTGATATTCGCTATCTTTTTTTCTTTAAGCATTTTAAGAAACAGAAGAGGTTGATTCCTGAAAGAACTGTTTGGAAGTACTTTGTCCAGCTTTGCAGTGCGTTGGAACATATGCATTCTCGTCGTGTTATGCATAGAGGTAATACAGGATCAAAGATTTGTCTTAACTAAGCCTTTTACAGTGTGGGGAATTAAGCTGGTTCTATGCAAGTTACACTGAATAAAATCACAGTGGAATCATCCGCAGCAGCTGACACAATGTATGTTTTTGTAATGTTTTGTAAGGAACAGCCAAGTGTGGCAGAAGTCATGCGTTTCCTTGGCTGTGGTGGGCATTTGTTTGCAGCAGCAGCTTGTGATACTCAGCGTTCAAAATCGGTGCTAGTTCTGTAACTAATGGAAACCTTGCTGCTGCTGCCTCTTCTCTTGCTCAGTTCATTTTGCTGGCTCATGTTGTCTGTCCTCTGTTTGCCAGTTCTCTCCTAAGTATACTTACCTGCATTCTCAAATAGCATTTTCCCCCTCTTCTCTGCTCCTCTCTGATCTTTGTGGTCTCTGTGTCAAGTAGTGTGTCCCAGCAGCTCCTAGTTGTCAGTTATCCCTGTCAGGTTCTTAATCACTTTTACCCATTGTAAGCCTCTGGATGGCTGTCTGTCTCCTCCGTATGTTGTCTTCATTTTGCTTTCTAAGTCCAAGTCAAAGAAAACAAATTGTAGTATAGTGGGTTCTCAGATGTACTTTTTTTTTTTTTTTTTTTTTTTTTTAATTTGCCTTGGAAGTCCTTCTGTTTGTGACATACAAGCTGTGTATGGACTTGAGGTGAAATTATATGTCCTTACTTGATGTCTTCCTTCTCCTGGGATGCAGATAGCTGCCTAAAAGCCCTGTCCTTCTATCACTGCTGAGCTGCGTCACTTGCAGCCAGAGTTGCTGTACCTTTTAGCAAGATGAACTTAGATGCACAGGACCTCCTTCACCAGATGGCTTTCCCTTGTGGTTCTTCTGTTCTTCCCTGTGCATTTCTATGGGTATCTGCAAGTGCAAATTTTAGAGGGGGGATGTAAAGCTGTAGATTCTTTCTGTAAGTTACAGCTATCTTTCTCTAATGCTTTTATGACTAAAATAGTTCACTTGAGTTTATTTCAGCTCAAAATAAGAGTTTCTTTAAACTGAAATACTACCTCTAGATTTTCTTGCAAATCTATAGATAATTATACATCAAAACCAGAAATGTTTTAAACTCGAGCTGATGTCTTTATTGACCTGTTTTGCCCAGCATGGCTTAGAGTCCTGAAAATTAAGTCAGGGAGTTTAACAAAATTTCTTGTCTTCCTTTCTAAATCTGAGAACTTTACCGCTTTAGAAACTTGGAGTGCTGGCATTTGAAGGGTTATTAACAGTCACTTTAACTACACCTGTATCTTATGCAAACTGCAATATCCTCACTCTTCCATGATTTTAAGTTGTGAGCTGCAGTGTGTTGTGCCTATGAGCTTGGTAAGAGCTAAGGACACTTGCCAAACAAGCATGGGGCTTATTTAGAAGGCTGGCAGGGTGGTAGTTTAGTTAAAAAAAAAATAAAAATCTTTGCTCTTGTCTCTAGAGGATTAGATGAAAACTTAAAGAGAATATTGCTTGTAAAAAACAAAAAAACCAAACTGTCTGGGGAATACATCATTATTTTTCTTTGTTTCTACTTGATTAGCCCAATTCCACTGAAGAATTCAAATAAACATTCTCCAGAGTATATCTTTTTATTTTTTTTAATTTATTGTTAATGTTGGCTGTTAAAGAGTATCAGTGAGTTCCTTTGTTCGGTTAAATAACATCTTGCTGCTGCAGATAATCTGGCGAAAGTGACAAAAAAAATGTTCATGGAAACATTTTCTTCTGTGATTTTGATCAAAATGAGAGTTTTTATGGTTCTAATGGAGTTCATTGAATAAAGTTAACACAACTTACTCATGTATGTTTCTGTGTTTATCGGGTGAGTTGTGTTATTGTTTTTTAGTTTTGGATTTTAATATTTTTTATTTTCTTAAATGTTTTGCTTGCGTGCTGTTTGGACAACTAAAATGATTATTGTGAAACTGGGAATAAGAGATTCAATTTTTCTGAGCAGCGCTGTCAAATAGTGTTGTCTATACTGAAAGATGTCATTCAGCTTATTATCAATAGAGCGATAGCTTTTTCTGCTACTTCATAGTGTTAAAGTTCTATTTGAATTTATTTATTTCAGATATAAAGCCAGCTAATGTGTTCATTACAGCTACAGGAGTAGTAAAGCTTGGAGATCTTGGACTTGGCCGATTTTTCAGTTCGAAAACCACAGCTGCTCATTCTTTAGGTAAGCTTACACATACACATACACATACACACACACATACACACACACACACACACACACACATACACACACACACACACACATACACACACACACGCAAAAACCCTCAAACAAACACTCCAGTATATTTTCCAAGCAAAAATTTAATTGAAGTTGTTGTATCTTTCAAATAACGTATGAGAGCATTTGGGGTCTGGAGTGGCTTCCGAGAAAGAAATCTTTGACAGATGCTTTAAATACAGTGAATGAACAAGTGATGGAATCGAAGAGGTTTCCTTAATTTAAGATCCTGTTCTCTTCTGGAGTAGCAGCATCTTTTTAGGTTTAATGTTTACAGTCTGCTTATGTAGTTTTGTAGCATCTTTAGCTTTTTGTCCCTGCACTGCTTGCTTAATGATTGCTGAATTCAACCTTGGACACTGACTGCAGAGGGTGTGAAATGAACTTCCAGACGCAGGAAGAGCAGCGCTATGGGTGGTAATGTCTATAATTGTTTCCTGATCATTTTAAAAGACATGGAGGCAGACAGAAGACCTTATCAGCAGTGGAATACAGATAGGTAAAATCAAATCAGATGCAGCTCAATGAGATTTTTTTTTAACAAATGGAGGTGATTATTCAGTGATGAGGCTTTTGGTTATTTTTGTTTCACGAAAGTGCATGATGAGGCAGATATCTGTTCTTGGCTTTCTTAAACTTTAGTTAATAATTGCAGTCTCCGTTTTAAGTCCATCAGAGGCCCCACAAAAAATTGTTTGTTCAGATGCTGATCATTCTAATTAGACTATGAAATACTATTTCTTTAGTTAAAATGTACCATATTTATTTTTATCTTTTAATTGAGCAATATTCAACTAGTCCAAGTTACCAATACAATACGGAAAAAAGAGGATTGATGTTCACCATGTTTGTACCACATCTGAGATGCAGGTGATGCTTATGCTAACAACCATAGTTGTTTTAGAAAGGAATTTTTAAAAAAAGGTTTTTCCTACTTGCCCATCTTCCAGGAGGTCTTTGGGCATGCCTTTATGCCTTCCAGTTTTTCTCTGCATGGTCTGTTCCGATATTGTTGTAGTTCAAACAAGGTCTGAATAGGTCTGAAGTGAAGCTTTAACAAATGTGCCATCTTGCATTAACTGGAGAAGAGGTAAAGAGGCAGAGAAGAAGTCTCGAGCCTAGGCAGGAAATGTGTTTGGGTTTCACATAAAAGTTCAGATCCAACACTAAAGATCTTAGGTGAATCTGTGGCACAATGCATGATGGAGAAAGTGCTGCTGCTGTTTGTGCTACTATGACAGGTTGGTGGCTGTCACTGGCTGCAGTTCTTATTTGTCATAGTTGGGCTCCTTCTACTGCCTGTTAATGAAACAAGGGCATTAAGAGCAGCATGAAGAGGGAGCTGCTCTTGTAGTGCATTTTGCAGGCACCTGAAAATCCTAATTGAGGTAGAATTCAGCGTGAGGTTAGGAGTGTAGACCTGTTCTGAGGTAGAAGTCAGGAAGTTCAGGAGGAGCCATCTGCTTCAACCATGGCTTATTTTGGCCTGTTGCAGGGGAGCGGTTGCAAAGAAGAGAGGTTTTTTAAAAAAAAAAAAAAAAAAAAAAACAATCTGAAACCACCCAAATATCTTAAAATTCATCTCTTATGAATACAGGATCCATTCATATAGGGAGGGAGCTGGGAGAAACAAGCAAACAACAACAAAAGCCATTGTTTCCTAATGTTGTGTTCTGCCTCTTGGTAGAGGAACTATTATATTTACCTTTTCCTCATCTCTTTTCCCATTTTCCCCCTAATTATGAGCCAGTATAAGAATTCAGCCTAGAAGAAAGGTTTTGTTGAGCTGTGACTTAGGTTACAATGGATACAGTCGCAATGATTTATAATGTCACTTAGAGAGACTGTTCTTTCAAATTATTTTCTCATGCAGTTTCTGATGCTGGTTTTCCTGAAATGTCTTCCGAAGCTGCATCTTTTTACAGTTCCATAAACCTTTGGTGCACAGAAAATAGTGAATTACAAACATGTGTAGCACTTCATACTTGTTTACTGGCTTTATAAAAATTTCAGTAGCAAACTAGATTCGGGCTTTCAAAAATAAAGAAATGTACTAAAATTTTCATTAGCTTCAGCTTCTCACTGCTAATTATGAATAATACTGGTTAATTAAAATACTTGCTGATAATCTATTTGATTCAGATGAGGAAAAAATAAAACCTGAACTGGACAGTGTTTGTCAGTGTTCTTAACTCTTTCTGTACAGCCTACCAAAGCAGTCTGTTATGGCTTGTGCGTACCTTATTAATAATAAAAATAATAAAAATCTTTCCTATGAAAATGCTGAGGAAATGAAGACGTTTAGTATTGTTGATTTGTTATGAGCTTGACAAGTTCCTTAGCTTCAGAAATCGTTACATGGAAAGTAGTGTCAGGAAGAGAATCCAAGTAAGAAAGAAATGTACAGTAAGTCGTGTCCTTATACCTTTCTCCATGATTGTGGGTTTTTGTTGTGGGTTTCTTTTGTGGCTGAATGCCGGGCCTTATGCCCTTTGAAACGGCAATCCTCAGGGCAGTTTATGGAATTACTTGGAAAATGTAGCTTTTAATTTTGTTAAGCATTCCGTGGATCTAAAAATAGTCCATATTTCAGTGGTTCACTTTATAGGGAAAAAAAAAAGAATCAGTTCTCTGGTGTGATAGTGTTAGATGACTGCACAGTATGCTGTCACTACTGCCATGATGTGAATACCTTCTTGCAGGGCAGAGAGACAGATGTGTAATCCTCTTAACGTCGCTGAAAATGACGATCAGTGGCTTGGCAACTTGTCATTTCTATAGTACCTGTGTCAATAGCATAGAACTATGTAGGTTGTTCTGAAAGTAGTTCATATTTATGGCTGTCCCGCTGTTGAAACTCACCACCCCTTGCCTCACTGCTGTCACATCCTGCTTGGTCTCCAGACATGTTCAGTAAATGTCAGTGAATGCTGATGGGTTCCCTGTGTAGAATTCAGCGGCACACCTTTGCTTCCATGTCGGGCACCATTTTACATACTGCAACAGCATGTAATGGAACATTGGTGAGAAGATCTGACCTCTGTTGCCATGCCACCAACATGAGCCAATGGAATAAAAGAGGAGGCATTACTTTAGGATCAGCCCTTACGTGGTATGAGAAATTTAATTGTAAACTCATGCAAGATATTGGGAATAAAAAGCAACAACAGACCAACCGCCTTGTAAAAATATTAGGAACTGTTCTTAGGTGTGGACCTCTAACTCAGCAGAGTGGTCAAAGCCTACTGAGGTGGTGGCATGCAGCACCATTTAGCTGTGAAGCTCACTTTCATATTCTAAGCCACACTGTTCTGACAACTTGCACCATCTTTGTGCAGGAGCACTAGCAGGGGACATCTCCAGCTGAAGCATCACATTAAGAAGCTGTATTAAAACAGCCCCTATTTTATGTACAAAAACCTGAGGTCTCCTACTGTAATCTGAAAGCTGAAGATGAGTTGTTGTGATGTTGTAGTTCTGCACTATAAAATAATCCAGTAATGATTTCTATAGTTGGATTATTTGCATAATATAGGCTAGGTTGCAAAACTGCTTTGGATGAGTGTGCTACTTTAGACCTCATATCTGTGGTTGAAAAAGAGCTTTAAGTGCACTTTGCCTGCCCAAGGAGGTGGTGGAGTCGCCATCCCTGGTAGTGTTCAAGAGGTGCCTGGATGAGGAGCTCTGAGATCTGGTTTAGTAGCTTGTGGTACTAATAGGAATGGGAGGGTGGTTGGACTAGATGATCTTGCAGGTCATTTCCAACCTTGTAATTCTGTGATTTAAAAGCCTACTTTATCTATTTTTAAAGAAGAAAGAAAAAGAATGTATTATAAAATGCCTGTGACTTCCAGGACATGAAGTTTTGTTTATTATGTTTTATTTATGTTTTGATTACTGAAATTAGTTTTTTTCCGTCCATTCAACTGAAGTCTTGTTTTGCAGTTCTGTCAAATCACTGCAGTAACTCTTGTGGTTTTCAGCCCCCTTCCTGAACTCAGATATGTTCTCCAATGAGCAAAATTTCATTATTAAGGACAATGGAGCTTATCTAGTGAACATCTTCTGAATCAGCTGTTACATTGCATTGTATAAATAATATTAGCATGTGCTGGACAGATTTTTCTCCCAGTTAAAAAAAAGTTTGATAGTATTTGGAGCCAGTTGCTGTATTTGCTTCACCTCCTCAACGCATTTATTTTTCAAGTGAACACAGTCTCCTTTAACTGAGATGTTAGAATCAAGCATTCATGCAGGTGATAGGCTGTTTGTCATAACTCCCTTGTTCATAAATGTTTATTTGCCTCTGATTGCTCCAGCTTCCTTGTCCCTCATAACCGCTGTTTCTGTTACATCCCCCATCTCGATAACAGTAGGCTTACATCAAGAAACATTTCTTGAGATCAGCAGCATCTTTAAAGGCAGGGAGCAGCAGGGTCTGAGGAAGCAGTTCATCTGGTCATTTTCAAGATGACATTTAAAACCTGTAGTTTATTCGAGATGCAGAAATGCAGTAAACACAGTATTAAAGTTTGCAGGTTTCTTTTTTAGAAGCATCGGCACCTTAATGTGTTACCTCTTCTTTTTCTGCCTGTGATCCCACTTGTTTCTTCAGATCACTGAAGAAAATTACATCTTTACTGTATAGTAATACTGTATTTTACTTAACAGGAAAAAGAACAACCCACAACAATGATTGAGGAAGGAAAAATAGCATGTAATGAAATGAAGCGGTCGCTTGCACTTCGTACTCAGATTGCTTGCTGTTCTGAGGCATTGTAATGCCTTCAGTAATTCCTGACTGTCAGAGTAATGAATCTTTTGTGCCGTGTTCTCTTCAAAACAGTTTACAAGTAGTAATGATGTCTAGATCTTCAGGTTGTTTTTGTGGTTTCAGTGGCTACGTAACTGTGATTTCTATTCCTTTCACTTGTTGGTCATTGGGGGCTTCAGGTTGTGTTGCAGTTAAGGTGTTACACTAGGCTAAACGCTGTAAAATGATAGCATTTGTTCAGCCTTTTCACTATCATCAATCTTTCACAGTCAGATCAGACCCCTAATGTATCAGCAGGCTTCCCAGAGCTACTGGTTAAAATTACCTTTGCTTTTGGTAAGCTCTGAACCTTCAAACCTTCGTGTTTTCAGCTGCCCCCTGTGGATCGTGTGAAGCCTCTTTCTGGCACATTACTCACTGCCAGTTCCTGGCTGATGGCTCAGCGCAAGGAAGGCACTACTTCTGTAACCAGTTAGGAGCCAGATTACTGTTACATTTGTTCTTTATTAGAGGAATTCTGCCAGGAAAGCGTCTGAATGCACTAAATTGTGCATTAATTAATAGGTGCAGAATGCAGCAAAAAATTTTCAAAGGTTCCCAGGCTTACAAGTCCCTGGAGGAGGAAAAGCAAGGTTTCCAGGGAGGAGTACAGTACAGACTGCAAAGCTGTGAAAGCTGTATCAAGCCAAATGTGATTTAATTAGTTTCCAGTTTAAAGGTAGCTGTCATTAAACATCTCTTAAACTCCCAATGCTGATACGTTGGAATAGCTGAGTGCTTTGTTTTGCTTTTAGAAGCTCTGAAGCTATATTAGTGTTGAAAACCATCCATCCCAATGGCTGTTCTTTCAGTGGGAGAGTGCCATCTCTCTAGGCTGTTTGCCTGTAGATAAATGCCAGAATCCCCCGAGAGTGGATGGTTTTGCAGCACTCCATCAGTTTGAGTTGCCATTCCCCACTCTTCCTTGTTTTAAGCTCTTGATGTCCCTTGGTCTCAGCCAGCAGCTGTGCAGCACGGCCTCGCCAACACAGAACTTGAGGCTGCGATACACCTGCTCTCCTGGGACTTGCATCCTCTACTTGTGAAGGTTTATGGAGCCAAGTCAGCACTAGGGTGCAGTGCATGAGCTCTGTCCCTGCCTTTGTGCTGCAAGGTCAGTTCTCAGTGACTCTTTCACCAGTGCGCTATGAGGGGTGTCAGTTGAAGTTGCAGCTTTCCAGCAGCAGTGGGCAGGGCTGTGGGAAGATGGCTTTGCATTTCCCAGGCTGAGCTGGGGAAGTTGTTTGTTTACTTTTTAGTTTTCCTGCTCTGTTTGCCCTGAGAAAGTGTAGTATGCTTTGAGATGTCAGCCTTTATAAACAGTAGGATGTGTTGTCAAAACCGTGATCTTTTGGAAATGATTAGAATATAGTTATTAGTCTGATTAAAGCTCTAGTCAGATCATTCGGATTTCGAACTATTACAGATTCATTACATGTCATTCACCTTGAGTTAAATTCTGACTAGATGAGGCTAATTCAGAAACTTGTAAAGATTGGAATCCTCCTGATGTGTGTTAAATAGAACAGTGCAAGGTTATAGCATTTGTTTCTGTAGGTTGCAGTAAGAGTGTTGATGTTAATTGCTGGCTGTGTTGCCAGGTGGTAAATTGGGAAATAAGGTCAATTTGTACCGAGTTCACTTGGATTTCAACATCAAGATTTGGTGCCTATGGAAATATTCCACAGAAGATTAAAACCTTTGTAGCTGTATTCTTTTTGCTTTTGGAGAGTAGTTTGTTTTTTGGAGATGGATGTAGGGAGAATGTTTAGAGACCGTGCATGAAAGCTGCCACCCAGGTAATTTGTCACAACTTCTTAAAAATTATTTTTGTACTGATCTGTTACATAAGAAACCAAAGCTCATATTTTGAGGTGTTTTTTTTTTTTGAGAATTGAAACATTTGTCACCATTTCTGTTTTTCAGGTAGCTTGTGGCACAGCTGGGTAGGTGCTAATAAAAAGCAGGGGGAGAGCTGTCCTGGAGCATCTAATGGAGATGTGCTCTGAGACAGAGCAAGGAAACGCTGCTTTTCAGGAGCAGCCCATGTGCCCCTGCGGCCTGCAGCTCTGAGGCAGGATTATGCCAGGGCAGCCACGGGCTGGGAAGATGGAAATGCCTTGCAGAGCATGCATCTGTGGCAGGTGGCCAAGTTGCTCCTCAGCCCCTTGGCTTCTGCTGGCCCCCAGGTTTTCCAGCCTTTCTCTTTGGGATGCTGGATGTCTGGATTTCAGGGCTCGGTTTCAGATATTCAAGTTAAGCTGTGCTTAGTAGTTTCAAAAGCAGCCTTTTCTGGTTTATATATTCTCCAAAGGAAAAAAAAAAAATATCGAAGCCCACGGAAGAGAATTTCTAGCTGCTCTCATTTCTAGCCAGCGCCAATGGGTTCAAGGGGAGCGAGGCAGGGAGGTGTGTGTACTATGCATCTTCCTGGGAGAAAATCCTCACTCTGGAAACTTTTCATGCTTCTTTAAAGGTATAACTTGTAAGTATTCTGCAACTGAACATTTCTGAGAATTAGATATCTGTAGTGAAAGTAAAGCTCCACTGGATGAAATTCCAGTCTAATTTGTGGATATTTCCACCAACTGAAGAGTTGTAATTATGAGCTGAAATTGCACGTGTACTAAAATGAAAACTATGCAAGATAATTTAAAAAAAAAACCCTACTTTCTCAATCAGGAAAACCATTTACTGTTGTATAGCAAATTTTTATTCAAAAATACTTGTGGTTTTTATTGCAGTTGGTACACCTTATTATATGTCTCCGGAGAGAATACATGAAAATGGTTACAACTTCAAATCTGACATCTGGTCTCTGGGCTGCCTGCTGTATGAGGTAATATTGATAATAGAGTGATGTAATAAGACTTTCCCCCCTGCACCCTTCCCCAGTATACTGAATGCTGTTATAAGATCTATTTTTTTGCTGCTGAGAAAAGTATATAGTATTCTAGAAAAGATGTTTGTCAGCTCTTAAATATCTGCCTTAATAATGAAATTCTTATGGTAACTTCTACATATGAAATAGTAGATTTGTGTATTATTAGAGACTGTCCTTTGGCTGGGCTTGCTACAAAGATTTTTTTTAGCCATTTCTTTGGGTATAACTGAAGGGTTAAGAAGTGAATAACGACAAGCAGATGTAAAAATTCTTTTAGATGCTTTCAGTGGGCTGTGTGGATTTTATGGTCTGAGTAATAATGCTCTGAATAATAGTGGGATTGACTTAACTATGCGACTAATGCTTTTGAAAGCTAACATGTAATTTTTTTTTTTAATGATTTGAAACCTAAGTAAAGAAATGAAAAATCACGTGGGCTACTTACTATAGTTATATCTGCTAACTTGACTTAACTTTGGAGTTACTTTTGCTGTGCAAAAATCAGTGTTTTTTTCCTAACTACTTCTTCCCATATAGCTAAACCAGAAGTATGGGGTAATTCCTCCACTAACACAGTTGGGGTTGGTGGGTGATGCTTCCATAATTATAAATGGTGTTATATTCGTTACCTTCTGGGGAAATCAATATATAGGGCAAATGCAAATAGAGGAAAGTGTGAAGAACTGGTAGGCTTCTAAGGCAACTACGTCTTCAGAGTACTTGCGTATCATTTGTTGATCAGAAGGGCGAATAGCCATACTGCAGTCCTGAAGAGTTTTCAGATCCGTGTGTGGCTGTTGCCTGTAGATCTCTGGGACGATCTGCGAGAGTTAAGTGTCACACTTGCCCAAGTACTGGTGAGTTAAAATCAGGTACATAATTCTGTGTTCAGGTTCCCCAGCACTGACTGTGCAACTGCCATTTTCATGTTCCACTTTATACACTTGCACAAGTAGGAAGACTAAAGGTAGCACAGAATTGAATGAGGATTTTTAAGTATTGCTACAGGTTTTTCCCCTCAGTGGTTTCAACGTTGTTTTTGTTCTAATCTAGAAGGAAGTGAAAATCTCAGGGAATAAATTACATATGATAAGCATGTTTTAGGGTTATTATTTTCTTCTACATTCCATGAAATTTTGTGGAACTGCTGGACAGAAATCAGTACTCGTTTTCTGAAATTTCTTTTTATTTTTCCGAGGTTTTTTATTTGATGCTGGATAGACCATGTTAAAAACCTATGTAAAAATGAATTTGTTCTTTGATCTAGAGAATAATTTCAAAATAACTAAATATCTTAATTTTATTTGCTAGTTCAACATTTCAAATGCCTTTCTGTTCATATTTTTTGATGTTTCATCAGGGTGGCGTTTAAGTTGACGTGGTACTTTTTTTTCTTTAAGAATAGAACAATTAGAATTCCTATTGATACGTGTTGTGTAATTATAATATATGGCAGTGTCTCATACTACAGATCTTTATTATGTTTTTAAAATTTTTGGGGATATGTTTATCCTGTTTAGTTCTGCAATACCCCATATTTTATTTATTTTTTTTGATGTTTATCACTGAGGTGTAATTTTGAAATTCAGGTATACTAATCTCAATATATGCTAAATTTTTTATTATTTAAAAGAAGTTGCTTAAGGTTCTTCAGTCACGCATGGTCCAATACATAGGATGTATATTACCAGTTTCTTTTTGCAATGCATGTTTTATCTACTGCTTGCGTTTTAACACATTCTGTTCATTTTGCTATGTGCTCTGTATTTTCTCTAGCTTAATTGGAGAAAAGCTGTGGCATGTTTATCACCTGAATAAATGCTTAATTGCTGATAAACTCTCTTCATTTAAGTTTTCACTTGAGATTAGGCTAATTTGCTAGAACATATAATTTTTTTTTTTAAAAAGCATTATTTCTAACCCACATAACAGTATGTTATTCAGTGCTAGCTGTGGGAGCACAAAAAAGTATATTTTAGACTGAATTTTAGAGCCCCTGGTAGTTTTGAAACCTCAAAAACACTACCACTGGAGTTTTAATTGATATGCAACAAAGTAGACTTTACTAATTAAAATCAAGATGCTGTGCTTTTGCTACATGGACCTTTACATGGAAAAGTAGGTTTTACACATTTCCTTTTATTGTTCAGCGTAGCAATTGCATCCTTACAGGGTTGTAGGTTGGTGGCTTACAGTTCAAAAAAAAAAAAAAGAAAGAAAAAAAGAGGGAGGAAAAAAAAAAGAGAGGAGAGAGAGCTGCCACCAGCCCTGAAGACAGACAGTGGGCTTTCGTCCCTCAGACACCCCCAGAATACTAATCAGGAAAGTCAGACCCTGGAGGTCAGGGAGCAAGTCAATCATTCTAGCGATCGTCTCAGTGTGGAGGATCAAATTAGCCTGAAAAATTCAGCTGCTGGGAGGAGAGGGCGAGCAGCTGTCAGGGGCAGCAGCGAGATGCACTAATGAACCAGATGAATAGTGCAAAAGCTTGAAAATAAAAACAGGACAGTTGACATTTTTCATCTGTCAAAGCAGGAGATGCATGAAAATATAGTATTCCTGTTTTAACTCCTTAGGGGACATTCAGAATTTTTTTTAACACTCTGCAGCATTCAAACAAAAGTACTTTTTAATGAACACCTAGAGTACAAAAATGAGTATCTGTGCATTTATTTAGAATTTCTGCATGCATACAGACCCTGCAGTTGATTTTTCTTTTCTTTTTTCTTTTCTTTCCTTTCTTTTTTTGGTCTTTAGCTTGCATTTTTAACATTCTTTTTAAGGTAAGAGACAATAGCATGTAAATCCCAAAATTAACAGCGTTTTGGTAATACGGTTATAAAATGTTTGGGCGGAGCATAGAATTGAACTGTTAGCATTGTGTTCGCTTGGGGAGCTTTAATACGATTTATTCTTACTTGAAGTTTGTATGAAGAAGTACTAAACTACTCGTGAGATGTTTTATTAGATACCAGGCAAAGGTTAGAGAATTCGGGCGTTTTTTTCACGTGTATTTCCCGGCGATATTGGTGCTTAGACATGAAAGAGTTAAGCTGATATATGGAAGACCAGAAGACAGATGAGAGCCATTTTCAGCTTGTCCTGTCCCTGCTGAAGCTCACTGAGTAGCACAGCATGGACTAGCGTGTTTCACACACACTCTGCCTGTCTGGGGAATGTACACATTGTCCTTCCAAAATCAAACTTATTAGCACATGTAGAAAAGGGTGACTGACTTTGGGGCAGCGCTGTGCTCAAAGCAACATTCGTGCTGCTGCGGTTCAAAGCCTTGGAAGGCTTTGAACAGAATGGAGAGTTTTTAAATGAATTTTAAGATTTGTAATCCTGCTAGCCATAGCATTGGTTTCCACCTTAAATGTCAAGTTTTAACGTTGTCTGGAAGTCAAGCATAGGCTTACTAATACTGCTTAGAAGATGGTTGTTTGTGTAGGCGTTCTCCAGTAGCTATTCCTACATTCTTCTATTACAGTTGTAAAATACAGCTATGGATGTCCGTTCTGTACCTCTAATGATGTTTTGGGTGGCAATATTAATTTTTGAAATGATGTGGAATAACAAATTGAATTATGAGGGTATTTTTGTAACCTTTGTTAGCTCTTTTAATTAAGAAAAACCACCCCACAAAACAATACCAGAGCCCTGCAGCACTTTACCCAGGTCTAGCTGTGGGATGCTGCAAAACCTGCTATTGTTATCCAGCATTCTTACCAGGCAGTATTGCTTTAGATCAGATAATGTTTTTCTAATAATTGATAAGTTTTCTTCCAAAAGAAGAAAGTCCCCCTTCTGTGGTGCAAAGCCTTTCCTATCTGACAGCGGTAGGTGGAATTACCCAATTTTTCCACATACGTTATTGATACAGTCGCTACAGTATACAATTAAAGCACTGTAATATTAGGATTGTGATAGGCACAGCACAGAGGAAGTATGTGGACTGGTTACGTTGATAGTTAAGGAACTTCTGATTTTAGCTCTGTGACAGGAATTGATTAAAATTTGCTTTTGATTTGCTAGTGTTGCAGGTTTTATGGCAAAAAGTGCACTTAAAAACACAAAAGAAAACTCTACATTTTCCTTAAACAGATGGCTGCACTGCAAAGTCCCTTTTATGGTGATAAAATGAACTTGTACTCGCTGTGCAAGAAGATAGAGCAGTGTGACTATCCACCTCTCCCTTCAGATCACTATTCAGAAGAAGTAAGTAATTTCCTTTTCATAGGCTCATTTTAGTGCTGGCACGCTTCCAATGTAGTGATGAACTTGTGTAGTTTTATGTTATTTGCAGACGACGCCTGTAAGTGTTTGCTCGTTGAACTTGCTCAAGTGTTTCTGTCAAAACATTTCCCTGAAATGGTGTAAAATTTTGGGGGGATTAAAGGTGGAAACTTCATCCTGTTAGCTTCTTAATTTCATTGAGCTTCTTTACTCAAAAGGAAATACACAATGATATGTACTACACGTCATAGTGGGATTGAGTCTTATGTATGTATTATGCTTTTCTAAAAGCACAACCATACACGTTTACGCTGGGCAATCAGTGCACTGACTTTGTTTCTCTAGAGGCATACATTAAAATCGATACAATCTAGCTCACTAGTAAAAATGAATTTAGTTCCCATTTATCTGCATTATACAACTACGAAGTACTGTTTGATACAATTGAATGGCAGGTCTTTTACAAGAAAGGGTGGGCACTAACAGTAAATTTCAGAGAAATGTAGCAAGGCATAATATAACTGCATATCACAGCGGGGTATGTTTTAAGTTGATGCATAGCAGTTCTTTACTGTCATTAATGCATTTAAGGGGCATACTTCCTCTTTTTTTTAAAGCAATAAAATGAAAAGAAACTAAATATTTTTCTTAAAGTAACAAGAGTAAAAAACATAAATGTTTGCTTGTTAATGATCTAACGTGCTAGTTTTGAAATAACTTTCCCACTTTTAAAAGGAACAGGGTGAACTGATAGAAGCTGTAAAGCAAAGGATGCATATTAGTAACAAATTCTAATTGAATTCAGTCTATGTGAATTAAAGGTTACTTGGAAAACGCAAATAAAAACCAGCACTGAAATACCTTCCAATAAACAGAAGGTTTTGTGCATTTTCACTTGCAGAATAGGGATTGTAATTCTGAACCTTGAATTTTTTGCTTTCAAAGACAGTGATTGGACTATTAATAAAAGATAACTGCCCAGTGTTTTGTGTTGTATTTACAGTGACAATTTTTCCTGTTTACGGAAACAAAAACTGGACTTACAAAGATAATTCCATGACTTTGTGAAGGATGGTGATTTTGATCTATTGTGTAATATGTGCAATAAACCTCTTTGTGAGTTTACCAGTTAGTCATTTTACCTTGGCCATTCTTAATTACTATTTATTGTAGACCATAGATATGGCAGTTCTTATAACTAACTCGAGAACTGGAGGCCTAGAAATACAGTAGGGTGTGAACAATAATGCAAAATGATAGCAAGAATGTCAGGGGCCGTTCTTTGTTGTGTCATTCATGCTGTCTTCCTTTTTCCATGAAGCGCATGAATATTTCACATATCTGCATCCTCATCCTCTATTCTTCTTGACTAATTTTCAGACTGTCTGCATTTGCATTTCACATGGTAGCTGATTAGGAGATGCCGAGTGCAGCAGTGAAACCTCAGCAGGCGGTTTCCATGGTGACCTTCAGCAGGATTTTAATGATGATACCACTAGTGGTTCGTTGAAGTTGGCCTGCCTGCGGGGCTACTTCACTGCAGCTAAGTGTGAAGTTGGATATGCGGATTTCCAGCCAAGGGGCAGATATCAAAGCCTGGCCCAGATAGAAGGTCTTGGAGTTGGGACAGGGAAAGAGGTTCCACCTTTTGCTTACCTCTGTGTAGCTTTCAGTGTTGGAAGCAGATGCAAAGCACAGGTTATATTTTCTTCATTTGAAAGCAGGCGTTTACTTCTATGCTTTGAGTAAACCAGGTAGTTATAAAATTCACCAGCGACTTTAAAATATAATGAGAGATTCAGAGCTGTAATAGATGTGGAAATAGTAACTTAAAAAAAGTAATCAACTGAGCTATAGAGATGGCACTGAGTGCATTTCTTTTGTTCCACTGTGAAAACTTGCATTATCTACAGTGTATGCAAAAAAACCCATGTAGGTTTGCTAGTTACTGCACCAGGTATAATTAAAAAGAAGAAAAGTCTTTTCTGAAAAATGCTTTATTAGCACAAACAGTTAAAAGGAAAGGAATGAGCAAGCATTGTCTATTGAATAGTTTTACTCTCGTAAATGATCTGTACTGGGAAGCTAGGGATCTACTCTTTAAGCAAACTGGGGGCACATTCTGAGCAGTAATGTTCAGGAGCTTCTATAATCTATATTCTATATCTATCTATCTATATAATATTCACATATTCAATAATGAAGAATTTTCTGAAAGAACACTTCTATTGAGCATTCATGGCTGTACCCTGTGATGTAGGATGTAAACACATTACAAAGTATTAGGCAATTGCTTTTTGGGGTAAACGTAAGTAAATTTTAATGAGATAAATTTTTGATTAGAAATCCTAGTGTTTTCACAGACTTTGTTGAGCAATAAGAGTTATTATCCAAGATTTTTGAATGTTTTAACAACTTCATGTATCACCGTTCTTGAATATTCCTTAAGAAACCCTGATGTTCAGGGTAAGCAGTATTTACAGAAATATGTTTTACTGTAGGGAGTTGAAAGCTGGGGCTCCCTTGCCGCCCCCAGTCAATACTCATAAAATCCTGTCAGCCAATATTAGCATTCCATTGCTTTTTATGGTGGGTGAAGTCTTTCAGTCTTCCCTCTGAGGTGCTTTTCCTCACAAGTCCATAGCCAGGCCCCTGGTCTAGAATTACTGTGTGGGTTGCCAGCATTCCTTCCAACACTGAGTTTCAGGAAGGTCTCCTATTCAGAGTAAGGTTGGTGAGTTTATTATTATTATTTTAGTCATCCAAGAGTTCTTATACGAAAAGTTTTCTTTCTCAGTTGCGTGACAATGCCAAGTACTTGCCTGTCACAGTACTTAGTGTTCCCCCCTCCCCTTCTCCTGACTTGAGCGATAATTGTTTATTTCATAGCTGAAAAACCTGCTAAAGTTAAAGAAAGTGTATCCCACTGCTCCAGTGTCAGGCTAAGCTCCAGGCTAAACACAGTCATTGTGCTAAGTGCACAGAGGAGGTTAAGAACAGTAAGCAGCCAAAGAAGTTTGCAGCTTGGGGATGTGGGGATGCAACAAGAGCTCCTTCCAGCTCAGTCGTAAGTCTGTTCTGCCTGTTGGCCAGTTTGTGCTAGTTAATACTAAAAAAAATTACTCTGTCTGTAGTGGTAGTCTGACTTGAGAACCCCAGTGCCTCTTCCTGTGGTACTGTCATGCTTTTCTGCTTCATGAGAATTTCATTAGCACTAGAGAGGCTGACAAGTGATCTCAGGTTCATTCAGATAGTTACTCATGTAGGTAGTTAAGAAGTAATACTATGGCCAAGCATTAGCAGCCAGCAGGAGCCCATTTTCAGTTGTGAAAGGCTATCTCCATGTGTAACTATTTTCTGCTATGCTCTCTTACAACTGAAATTCTGGGGAGGGGAGGGAGAAAGAGATTTAGCAGTGTTAGCAATGAGCAGCATTTAAGTAGTAAGACTTACAGCCACATTGATGACTGCCATTTATTTGACTGTGATATAATTGCAAGGGGTTGTTACCCACTGATAGAGCTCATCTCTTGTACTGTGTTGAGAAAAGCATTTCTAAATAAACAGATTCACGGCTGTCTCTTGTTAATAACATTCTCATAAACCTTTTCTTGCATCTGGACAGCAGTAGCTATATGATCACTTTGGTTAGGGTTAGTAAATCACAAGTTGCAGTCAAGGCATCATGAAGATGGCTCTTTAGGTGTGCTTACAAAGATGAATAGGGTATGAAAGCCTTTCCTAATGCAATGATGCCATTTTGCTCGTGTCTTTGTAACCGTTGAATCTCTATGGCTGTCTTTTGAAGCTCTATAACAGAAGTAACAAAGCAACTCTAAAGGAAGGCATCCTGTTTAATGACTTAATTTCAGACTCAAATTATTTACTAGTTTTAATATTTTTTAAAATGGAAAAGATCAGTTTAGAAAACAAAATCAGTTATCGTAGGCCAGCAATTAAAAAACTTGAAGTGGACTAGTGAAGCTAAATACAACTTCTCAAGCTTTTTGCACATTAATTTATTGGAGGATCTACTTGTATTGTTCTACCTTCAGCCAATTTACTGGTAAAAGAGAGAATCCTGTTATTCCTCTAATGATAGCTTTATAGGTGTCAGTCCTTCACAATCTTTTACTAAGACTTTATTTACTCTATGCAGTTCTACTGAACAGATGGAACTCTTCACAGATAAAGATACATGTATATGTACAAGATTCGATGTTGTATTCCCCAGATAAATTACATTTATATTTTCTTTCTAAAATGTTTACATATTTGGTGCTAATTTCAGGATTGGGGTTTTTGGATGTTGTTAAGTGTTTCCTGTTTGTCATGTAGGCTGTATGAGCTGTTGCACAGCAAGCTGTTGCTCTGCTAATATACTGTGTCTGCTGGTAACTGTCACCCAGCTGCTGCTTCTCCAGGAGCTTATTGTACTTCTTCTATTACATTTTGGCAATTATTTTTTATGGTAGTTCATAATTTCCAGTGTTCTATTCCCCAAATAATTGGGCGTTACTATGGACTAATAATTTTTCCTGTCAGTGATGATATTTCTATTTATTGCCTGCCAGAAGGAATGTGGTAGCTTTTAAAATCCGTTAGTCAGATAAACTTAACATATTTGAGGTTCAAATAGCAGGTCTGTTTCTGGATCTGGCCATCCATCAAAAGGAGAAATATTAAAGTAAAATCTGCAATCTGATCGCTGTCTTCAGAATTCATCATCTCATATATAAGTATTAATTTCACTTCACTAAAGAAGCAGAGTGTTTTAGTGACAGTTTTTGTATTATTAATTGTGGAGGAACCTGTACAATGTGTGCTGTTTGCAATTTCTGCAAACAAAGTTGTAAATAGTTGTATGTAATGTTTCTTCCTTCAACTTCAGGACTTCCTACTCTAGTGCATTGAAATTCATCTTCAGAAAAACTGAGAGTATAATTAGAATTTAAAATCCTTCTTGATCTTTTTATACAAAGCAGGAAGGGAACTCTCTGATGGCACATTTGAATATGCTTGTCTGTGTTGCCTTTGAATAATCATGGTGATGAGGTCACTCTGTTAGTTGCAGGAACTAGGCTTTCTCAGTAATCACACCTAAGAATGCTTCTGTGAACATATTAATTGTTTCTTCCTATAAAGAAGAATTAACAACTTAGCCCTACAAATAAAAACCAGGACTTAGTCCAAACGTTATTTACTTCAGCATCATGTTTCCGAGGCCAACATAATGTGATATTTCCTCAAAATACTTTCCCTACTTTGATTTTTAAGTTCAGAATTATACTGAGTCAAAAGTGGACGTTTTAAATTAAGAAGTCTTCACCGGCTTTATTAGGGCTTGCCATTTAAATGATGTATAATGAAGTTACATGAACATTTGAAGTTATATGTTGGAAGAATTTGAGCTTAGGTCTCCTCATTACTTTTTATGTTCATATTTTTTTCTGGCAATAGTATAAGATGTTTAAAAAAAAATGAATTGAGTTTTGCATACATGCTTGCATGAAACTGTGTGCAGTATGTGTTGAGAGAGAGTGCTGAGTGTGTTCATACAGAGTTGCTGTGCTGGGCTAATTGTTGCCAGTCTTTTCAATTTGAATTTGAGAATGCGTAAATACTACGTGGCAGGATTGTTGGCTTTCTTACATGTTATTTTCCTCTCCTAGCTGCGACAATTAGTTAATATGTGCATCAACCCGGATCCGGAGAAGCGACCAGACATAACCTATGTCTATGATGTAGCGAAACGTATGCATGCACACACTGCGAGCAGCTAAACAGACATCAGATCCCGAAGATCAGAAATGTTCAAGTATTTTAAATAAATCATCCCACCTCTTTGCATTACAGAAATGTAATTATTTGAAGCTTACTGTTGTGCTTTGTAAACCCATTTATATACGAACGTCAATGTTTTATTTTATTTTTTACTTTTTACCAACTTGCAGTTTTAACAGATTTAAATATGTAAAGCATAACTTCAAAAGATACTGAGAGCTGCTGTTTTCCACATTAAGTGAGTTCAAGGATGTTTTCTTTACCAATGAATGGGTTCAGTTGGGCCTCAGTTCTAAAACACGGTTGCACTTTTGCACAGGATACAGATATTAGGCTTATGTATAAGCAAAATGTCTGAATCTCTCACCTTTTTAGTAATTTATAGGAAATATGAATCTGCACAGTTATGTTTATTTTAATCTTAGTTCTAAAGGGGTATAATTATTATAGAAGGTTACTGTATTTTATACCGAATTATAGTTTGCAGTTCTCAGCACGTGAGTAGACAGATGACATGATTAGTTCTGTGCTTGCCAAACGTGACGCAAAAATAGTTAGTGGAAAAAAACCATACACTGAAATTGTTTTAACGTCCCTTTTCATTTTGCTATTCTGTCATAATGCACATAAAATGTCTGTTGGAGGTTTTATGGGAGAATTTAAGGTGTTGATTCTGCAGTTTGATCATTTTCAATAGCCTTGTACAGCACAGCCCTGGGGCAATGTGAGTGTGCATAGCTGAGTGTTAAAACCATGCAGATGCTGCTTGTAGCGGATAGTGTTCTTTTGAGGCTAACATGTATTAGAAGATCTGATTAAAAGATGCGATCTTTAAGTTACCAGTTTCTATTCCTGTAAATGTCACTGTTTGTAGACTTTTGTATTTAAAATAATTTGACCTTCCAATACTGTATTTAAAAATGCTTTTAAAATACCAAAATCTTTTTGGAAAATATATAGCTGTGTACTAAAGCACAATATATTCTTCACAGATATCAGATTTTGTATATCGTATCCTAAGAAGTAGCTTTATATTTAGCAAAAGTAAATTTTAGCATTTATGTTTCAAAGAAAGTTGCCACTTATTTCGGAAATAATTATTGATGCAAAGTACTTCATTATTTGAAAGGAGATTCACAGTATTGTGTTAAAACCTCTCTGGTGTGCTTAATAATGTTTTCATTGTTAAAGGAAAAAGGGAGTTCAAAAATAGAGATAGGTCTCAAATTTCTTGAATATCAAGACTAAACACTTTGAGAATACACAACTGTCAAAACAGAGTTCTTACCAATGAGATTGCTAAGAAGTTGCTACTGACAGTTAAACCTTTTTGTTATGTGGGTAAAAAGAAGTTAGTTTAGAGAAAATAGCAATACATATATCCACACAACACAGTTCCTAGATGTAGTCAGTTCCCTACACTTTTTGTTCTGTTGTTTTTTTTCTCTGTGCAGCGTTTTATTAGATGTAATGCCCAAAGAATATCCAAATGTGGGAAATCTGGAGTTAGGTCAGCTGTGCTTAGAGTAGGTGGTTGGTTTTTTTGTTTTTGTTTTGTTTTGTTTTGTTTTGTTTTTTTTTAAATTAGAAATACTGTGGAAATTCTGTATGCTAAAATGTAGGAGTTTTTAAACAGTGTGTGCCACGTCTTCATCTTAGTACATTGTATTTCTGTTGTTGTTTTAATTTCCAAACTTGGTAGGACAAGTCTTTAATTTTCCTTCTTGCTGCCATATTTACTTGATTCAGTCTTGTAGGACTCCAGTGGAACAATGTACAGGAAGAAAGTGTTTCAGAAACCTTGGTTTGTGTTTAAAAACCTCTGTATTTCCATTTGTGTATTATCTGATAACTGTGTTTTAAACAAATGATGGTTATATTCTAGTTCAGATGTCAGAGTGAAATGGTTTGTATTGACAAAGGCAGCACAGTACTTGCTTGACTGCTGCGATTAGTTTTTAAGATGCACAAGTATTCCAGTCGTTCTCTGAAATGGGCTAGAATATTGCAAAGTCACTGACAAAAAACCAACTCAATCAGGCTATCTGCATCTCATATCATGCATCAAGTATTATTACTTTGCCTGAAAGTAACCAATGATAGATTATTTTTTTTTTTCATTTTCTGGAAGGATATGCGGAGTAAAGAAACGATGAGTTAAAAGTTAGCAAATGTTTCATTGGTGTGGGTGTGGATTTTTTGTATTGCTGATTAAATTTTGTGCTGAGTAAACGAAGTAGTTGTTTCTGTTTTTAAAACTGTAGAATAAATGGTACAAATGACTCGGGTACCGAGGTTTGTATTTGAGAAGTCTGTATGGGTTAACAGAATTGCTGGTGTAACTGAGGTTCTAGAATCCATCCCATAAGCACCTAGTAATGTATGAAAACAATCTTGTAATAATTCCATGTGTACTGTACATTTTATAAAATGTTTCCTGTTATAGAAATGTCATTCTATTTTTTATCCTTTGTTGTTGGTGAGGTTTGGCACTATTTATTTAAAACTATGCCATTACATGTTTGTTTTCTTTAAAATGAACCTGTTATATTTCTAAGGAGAATGGTCTGACTTACACCCCCTTTTATTTCAGTACTACTACAGTATTAATGTGTTTCATGACTGAACTTTGTGCTTTGAATGACATTGCATTAAAATCTCATCTACTATCTTGAAAGCTCCCCTGCTGTGCAGTAGCCTAATAAAAATAAAGCATAGAGATATCAATTATAGTGTAAAAATAACAGTGCTTCTGTGATATTTTTCCCACTTTTCTTATTACAGATATGCTACAGTAGTTGCTGCTGGTCTTGCAGTTCACTGTTTCCAGTATTTAATTATAGGTGAGTGTTCTAGAATTGTAATGGTAGAAGGTGCATTCAAAAACTTTGTCATACCATTTGTCAAAAATTGCATCTAGAAACACTGCAGAAGATCTTTTCATAATGAATTATAAACTGTGCTTTTATCTAAAATTACTCTGAAACAATATGGAAATACCTAGAAGGGCTAAGAATAAGGAAGAGCTCCTATTTGTGATGCCAGCTTTTTTGAGCTCCTGTCAGCTCCTGTTTAGAGAGCATTATTTTTTTTTTATGGAATTTCAGTAATTTTTAGTGAATTTGTTTGCTCACAATGAATAAGTGGGAATCAGTAAGGTATCTATAAATCATGTGCTGTGCTTTTTTTTTTTTTTTATGTCTTTGTTTTGGTAGGACAGACTTAACGTATTTTTCCCAGTTCTCTTCAACTTCAGTGATCCAGTTACTCGTTGTATGAGCAGGCAGTAGAAGTATGTGTTCTTCTTGTAATGAGCTGAAACTTTAAAAACATGCCAATATACAGGAAGATGAAATACAGCATTAGATGTGTCTGAGCAGGCTAGTGTTTTATTCATGCACACGATTAAGACAGCCATAAAGAGTGAAATTGTTGACAGAGTCTTGGAAATGGAAAGGGGCTTCTGTTGCCAGTGGTTCTCAGCTATCTCTGAATGGGACCCAAAAGTGCAGTGATGTTTGCTTTCAACAAACCATCCGCTCGGTCTCTGTCTTGGCTGTTAGCCAGCGAGAACAGAATCTTAATGGCTGAATTTGAATGCCAATGGCAATTGCTGTGTCAGGTATTTGTGCTTTTAGAAACCGGAGGTTTATGTGAGAGGAAGACAACAAGGGCCTTCAGCTCCTGTTTTGTGGAGGGATAATTCAGTCTGGAAGTATAGGTGCTGAATAGCAGAGTTGAAATAGCTTCCCCCCCCCCCCCCCCCCATCATTTTAATACCATTTTGGCAATCTGATGTTTTTCCAATCCTGCCACGTCCCCGTATCAGCTAATAGCCAGTGACAGTGCTGATCTTCTGGGTTCTGATCTTTGGTTTGGTCTGGATGAATAACTAAATTTTCCTGCTGAGATCACTGAAGGGGGGAAATGCAGGTGCTGGTCATACCCAGTGATGTGTTACTTAATTGCCAAATGTGACTCAAATAGCGATTTTAAAGGATTTTTTCCAGTCTTCACTCCTTTCCCCAAGTCTTGTTCCTCAGGTTTTTGTTCTTGATTTTCGTATTCATTCATTGCCTCTGCTTCATCTTCTCTGTTGTCTCTTCTTCTCTCTTTCAAACTTGAAGTTCTTTTTTTCCAAATGGCCAATAGTTCCGTTTTTTCTTTGTGACTTTGCTAAATTCCACCCATTCTTGCCTTTTCAAATTTTATCTGTAACCATAGGCAAGCTCACTGTTGTTTTTTTTTGTTTTGATCACTACTTAGCTCCATTGTTCTTCATTCAGTTTTTCTAGCTGCCACTTTGATTTCTTGTTTTAGACAGATGTTTTCACAGCCTTCATCATTCCCATGACCTCATCTTTACTAAATACTGTGTGCTTTATTATCTCTCATTTTTAAATTCCTTTTCTCTGATCACTACCTGCTCTCTTTCAGCATATCTGTCTTTATCTCTCCTTTACCCTGTCACTCACTCCTTTTGGGATCTCCAGTCTATTAACCTTTCTGACTCTTACTTTTCTCAGCTGCTTCCTTCCTTCAGTGGCCTTACCTCTTTTGACTCACTGGTCTTTATTTTCATCTCTGTCTGCTTCTCTGTATGTGGTTTCTTTGGTTGCTTCTCGCAATGCCCTGTCTCTAATACCTTCCCTAGACATCTTTTCATGTTATTTCTTAATTTCCATTCTTGTTTTCCTGAATATTGCTGAAGAGTGTCAGCACAACAAAGCTTTGGTCTGAGCTCTCCCTTACCTGTTCTAATTCTCCTTCCAAATGGACTTTTTAACCACTTGGGTCACGTCTTTTTTTTTCTTGGTGAGTTTGCTTCCAGGTTTGCTTTTCATTTTAGGTTTTATGTGTTTGTTTTTCTTCTTCCCCAAGTTGTTCTGCTTTCTTAGAATCTGTTTCTGAACCAGGCCTCTGCCTCTCACCTGTGAGAGTTTGTCCCTTTAATTTCTTTAGCTCTTTTCATTTACTCTTTTCTTGATCGACTTTCATGAATGACTCCTTCACTAGCAACCAAATTTCTTCTGCTCTCATCTTGAAGTGTGGCTCCCCTCAACTACTTCTCTGTTTAATATTTTTTTCCTTTGTTCCCCATGTAGCATCCCCTTATTTTATGTACCTGAATGTCCTCTCTCTGTTTTTGTTTTCATGTCTTTTGTTTTGCCCTGTGATTCAAGTGTCCCAAAGATCCAGTGCCCCCTTCCCCAGTTAGGTTCTCTCACAATTTAATCCCTGGATGATTTCTTGACTCTTTGGCCAGTTTTTAACCTGTTGATTCAAAGATCTAATTTTTATTCCAAACTCCCTCTAGACATTTTCCAACGTCCCTGATGATTTTATTTGCATTTCTATCTTCTCAGACACAGTCTTTCTCTCTCTGATATGTCTGCTGGTCATATGTCTCTCAAGTCAGCAGTACCAGATTCCACCTCTCTTCACTGTCTTTTTATCTTTACCATTGTAACTTCCGTGTCATTTTGGACTTCTGTTCCTCCCTTCGAAGTATCAAAATTGTCAAGAGTAAACAGTGGTCCTTGGCCTTTAGCTGTTTCATGTGCTGAAGAAGGAATCTGTGTCATTACCAACTGTTTTGTGTTTTTATGGCAGTTCAGTTTTGCAAATTTGATCCTGTTTTACAACTTCAGAGCTGGAACCTCAAAGGTTCTTAAGTTTGGGCCATGATTTTGTTTTCTACCACTTCAGTTGCAGGTTTTGTCTTTCATTTCTGAACCTTATGTAACTCTATCTTGTTCTATTTCTGCACGTACAGCTAACAGTTATTCTCTTGTGTTACAGCAGCCTGGTTGCAGTGCATTTACCTTTGTTTTTAAAGTAAGAATGTACTTCAAGCTTCACTGGCTGGGTGCAGTGTATGAGTGTATGGTGTAGTGCTCCTCTTCGACGCTGTCCCTCTCTTACAGGGGTTTCTCTTAGTTGCTGTTCTGTGTTGTGGGTGTTGGTGGTATGGCTGAAACTTCCCTGCGGTTTTCTGTGATATTTTGTTGCTGTGTGACAGCAGTGGGGCAAAATGGCGTCTGACATGAAAGTGCGTATGAATCAAAGATGTGTCACTGAATTCCTCTACGTGGAAAACATGGCCCCTCTATCAGATAGTATCATCGTGCTCTTCGTATCTATTATGTCCATGGAAGTAAATAGGAGGCATTACTTTTGAAACAACCTATGTAGTAACTACTTATTTGCACCATAGTAATTCTTTACTTAGAGAGGATCAGTTTCTGGTTGGCAAAAAGCAGGTTCTTTTATAGTGTGTGTTGAGTTCTTGTTTCTTTTTTGTTGCCAGTTTGTGTAATGTCATACTAGTGTTGAATTTGTTCTTTTACAACTGCTTTAGTAATGTGTGGAGGCCTTACCATTTTTGTGTGATAGAAATCTTTTGATGTGTGGAAATAAAACCATAAGAAATTAGGTACATTGAGTCCTTCCTTACAGTTTCACTGTTGTGGTACGAGGGAGAGGTCCCTAGTCCAGCCTCCTGCTAAGAGTAGGATCATTGCTGAGTTTGGAACAGGGCTTTGGGCTTCAGCCATTAAGGTCTTTAAAACCTCCCAACCACTTGGGAGGTGGGTTGTAAATGTCCAGAGATGGAGATTGTGTAGCTTCTCTGAGCCACGTGCCAAAAGCTTATCTAGCCTCACCATAAGCGTCGTTTTCCTGAGTTTGTCACACTTCTCAGTTTCAGATCTTGGCTGTTTGTTCTCATACTATTCTTCAAATGTTATTTGTACTATAAAACAGGTAAGTCAAATACTGAAACAAATTGCTTCATTTCATTCAGTGGTATTTCATTTTCTCAGATGGCTAACAAATGTGTGTGTAGTTAATATGTATCCTGCATGACATGTACACTGTATTCATTTTACTGGAGTGTAAATAAAAATTTGAGGCAGTAAAAATTTGAATGTTCTGTGACATTTACTACTTAGATGCCATCAGTGCTTAATTTCTAAACCTGCTAGATGTTTCCCAACAGAGTATTGTTCTGCCCATCTTGGTGAAGCAGGGGATTCAAGATCCTGGGTGTAACTTGGTGTTTCTGTCTTCTGGAGCATCCCTCAGGAGAGGTAACTGACCACTGGTAGAAAGAAAGAAGTCAACGTGCATCTGAATAATTATTGATTATGGGGACTCTACTTCTCTATCCTTAGGTGCTGGTTGGAAACTTGCCTGAAGAGATGGATCAAATCTGAGATTTGGGGCTGGAATGACTTTGGGGTGGGTGAAGGGTGGTTTTCAGGGGAGTTTTGGCATATTTTCCCAGGTGTTCAATGGGATAGCAACGCTTGAAACTTCTGACAACAAATTTCTTGGAAGCAAATGAAAAGTATGATGTATGCTTATAAATTTGACAGGAAAAATCACTCTTAATGAGATAATTTCCTTAAAACAATAATTCCTTCTTGATCTTAGGAGATAATCTTTAAAAAAAGATAGATTTATGGGGTGGAGGTAGTGTCTGTGTGTCACGTTTGTACTGGAGCTTTTACTTAACAAGGTATGGACTAGTTGACTTGATAGTGGAGCGTCACAGCTGTCTGGCAGCTGGGGTTCTTTTCTTACCTTATTCCACAGCCGTGCAGCAGAGGTGGATGGACAGGAGGTGTTATCCCAGCATCCACTGTGCAGCATTTGCTTCCAGGCAGGTACTGGTCTGAGGTGAAGCTGTATGTGCCCCTCTGCTTGCCTGCATGAGCCGTGTAGGTCAGAACCTCTG